GGAAAGGAAAAGTTGCATTCTTTTAAAACAAGTTTGACGAAAAACAAAAAAAACATTTTCCGAACCTTTCCACCGTAGTAACCGCCTCTGTGGTTTTCGGAGAGAAAAATCTGATCGATTATCCACTTGTATATCACTAATATCGTTGAATATTCTTCGATGCATCCGTTCCGATTCGATCTGTGATGCGTGACGGCAACTGGGGGATGATCGCGTTCGGACCCGGACGCCGACCATCCAACAAATCCGTCAGATGACTATTGTGTGCTAGAAAATGTACGGCAATCACTAGCTGAAAACCTGCTTGTGATACTAAACTCAATTGTGTTATAAGTAACTTGTAGAGTCATTTATTCAGTGATTTAGACAATGCTGAGTGTTAAAAGTTACCTTCCCCTTGTCTGGAATTGATATTGATGTTTTGGCGCTTTCAGCAGTTCCTCCAGTTGGCTATTAAGATTGGAAGCGTCGATGGCCTCCCTATCAACACTCTGGAATATACAACCTTTATTTGAATAAGTTCAGAAAAGTGTGTTACTGTTAAAAACCGGTTTCAGGAAACGATTTCTGCCTCAGAATGGGCACCAGTGGAAGACACATTCCGCGATAATCGGAAAGACGGAGACTCGCCACTAGTACACTTTCTTGGTAGACGCCCTCGTTCTAATACGGTGAAAGAGCGTGCACCAATGACGAAGGCACTATTTTTATGAGTCCCCGCCCACTCGGTCATCGCGGAATAAACCTTCGAAGATTAGGCGCACCCCGCCGGTTGCAGTATCACCAAGAAAAAAGTATTTTCCGAGCAGATCTTCAGTGCACTGAGAATACTGCTCTATTCGCTGCAGATTATAGGGCGTGTCAGGGGAGATGGGTTTGGCGCGGCGCCAGCCTGTTTCCACAGTTGAAGCGGACAAGTGCAAGACTGTATTATGTCGTTCACATCACTCGTTTTCCACTAATTATCATCGCATAGTCGCTTAAAGACCTGATGAAAACGGGCTGGCGCCGCGCCAAAGCCATCCTTCCTGGCACGCCCCATCATCCTCAGTGAACACGACTGTTCATGGATCTTACAAAATGTTAGTGCCAATTCAACTCATGACGTCATTAGAATCAAGCAGGATTACCTGAGAAGTGTCCGAAATACCTATCGCCGATGAACCTGTCCTACCAGAACCAGTACCAGATTGTGGTTGAGGATGTGTGCCAGTGAGAGTGTGAGTAGTTGGAATAATAGCACCGAACGGTAGACCAACGGAGGATGTTGCTCCACTGAAATCAAAATTTCAACTGCGTTCAGCCGCCACGGTTACTTTGTAGTAGGAAAACTAACCTTTCAATATTGAAATTAGGATTGATAACCGGTAATGGAAGAGTTTCAACTTCTGGTAAACCGTACACACATTTGACAGTGAGAGTTTGATCGCCTTGAAGTATTACAGCCGGATTTTGCCCTATCCGAATACGATTTTGAAAAACGCCAGGTGCTGGCTGAAATAATAAGCAAAATCGGAATTTTATGGAGAAAATACGGCGAAAATACAGTGCAAGTGATTTTGTTGGCATAGCTCCAAATTTTCAAGGGAATCGTGAACAGAAAAGAAAACATACCATTTGTGTAAGGCATGGATCATTGAAAACAGCGATTTCTATGACATATTGAGTTTCGCCATTTCCACGTAGACGACATTCTGGTCGGCCTTGAAAACAAATAAAAACATTATTCAACTGCAACCAGTGCAAAGCATTCCGGCTCCCGGACAAGCACGTGTGGCGGGAGGGGGACCTATTAGGAGCTCCTTGATTGCACACGAAATCCATGCAGTGCGGTAGGCGTGGCTGCGCGCTTGAACTGAACGTGACGGCGGCCAAGGTTTTCGTGAGGTATTTTCATTTTGGAACAGCTTTTAAGCACGTCTTTGTTCAACGCGGAACAAGAATGACAGTTGTCTGCAAATTGAAATATTCCACGACTAACCAATCCTATGCAATTTTCAAACGGCACGCCTACCCAGTCTCAGGGATAAGGAGTGGAGAACTAGTAGCACCGTAACCTGAATAAGATTGCCGCGAATTGGTACACTTGGTTCGAGTTCTTACTCTCTAGGCACGAGCAGAAATCCTCATTTTCAGTAATAATCCCATTTTTGTACGAGGAGCCCTTTGGATGGCTTCCCCCCCTCGCGAACTTGAACTCAATCGCCGCTATAGCCACACCCTTTATCCAGCTCTTCTGACTGACGTCGGCTCAAATTTAGCTCTTCACTTTGTTTCGCTTCAATAATGCGAATATTTGTTTCTCGCGACTATAGTCTCGATCTCTGCGGAATGAAGGGGCGTGTCAATGAGGCTGGGTTTGGCGCGCCCCTAGCCGGTTCTCCACAAATTGTTGAAGCGGGTGAGGACAAAAATTGATGCAGAACGACTGATGCGAACGATATGGTACAGTTTTATCGCTTGTCAAAAAAAACGATAAAAAAAGGGCTTTCGCCAAATACTTTTTCCTGAGACGCACCATCATCTGCGGCGAGCAAGACGGTAACTAAGTTACGAGAGATGAAATACCTCAGTGTGTGAGCTCTAGCAGATTTTTCTTCTAAATTATGTCACCTGGAAGTGCTCACCGGGACTAGAGCATAAACGCTTCGAAAAAATAAAAAATCACCTGAAACACCGACGACGATCCAATCCGTGAACTTGCCGTCTGGATAGTAGTTTGGATTGAATTTCACTTCGATTGTGATCAACTGCGATCCACAGCGAGGTGTTACTGAATCAGTGGCGTCAGTCGGTAGAAGTATGTAAGTCGGTAGAAGCGTAACAAGTAAGTGAAACATAAAATGTATTAAAAAATCAAAGTATTAAAAATTTTGGAAGGAGTCGCTACTGGTAGCAGTGAAGTAGCAGGCAACCGTTATGAAAGTGAGGATCTGTTCTACATGACCACTAATTTTTGGCAAAGAAAAATTAAAAAGAATTCAGAATAGTATTTAAATATTCAGCAATCAAAC